AAATAGGAAAGCAAAAAATATAGCGATCATTAAAATACCAGAAATAATCAATATTTCCTTATCTGAAGATTCAAAGATCTTTATGCTGCACACAATGTCCACTTTGAGTATCATTAAAGAGATGCTCAAGATACCGGTTATGTAAAGAATTTTTAACATATTAAGGTAAAAGGCATATAATTTCTTCATAATTTTCGGCTGGTTTACTGAATATTCTTCCTTTTTTATAATATTAACTCCAAATATCTCAGAAACGGAAAGAATGGGCAACATTAGGAACATTGCAGATGACTTGGGTGTTGTTTGCATTCTTACTGGATACGCTGGATCGATATTTATTTCTTTATTTAAACTATAGCAATGCGACAGAGCTGCAAGTGAAGTTCTCCCTCAAAATAAAACAAACAAAAATAATCCAGATAAAATATTAAATAGAGACGTACTGAAAAGGATTTTGATCAGATACAAAAGTCAAAGGATTACAGTAAGATACAAACAGTAAAACATTCAGTCAAAACTCTGAAGAATCTTTATAATCTAAAAATGTACGGGCGCTGTTGCTAGGAGCACTCATTGCGCATTTATAGCTAATGATACTTTAATGAAAAGTGTATAAAACGATCGATATTTCAATCAATCGATTTCTTAATTAATTTCATGTTATTCGTATATTATCGGAAGGAAATCTATATACTGTATATAAAATTGCTTGTCCTGACTGATTGAATGATTCACGCACTGATTCATTATCGCCCAGAGCAAACCGCTGAACCTAAAGAGGTGAAATTTGGTACACAGTTAGGGTACGTCATGGAAACGCACACTAAAAAGGGATTTTTCGAAATTCCTCCTCGGGGGGAGAGAGAGAGAGAGGATTTAGTCTTCATCGAGTACTTAGGTGTATTAAATTAATAACATTTCAGACATTGTTATAAATATTTTTATCTATTTCGATTTTTAAAATGTTCGAACCGTTTTAAATTCGAATTTGTTATTGCATATTGGTTCGATTATAGAACGATTGTAAACGTTCCAAAAAATTGATCAAATTGAATCGTTGATTATTGGTTCGAGAATTGCTTTATTGCTTTATTGCTCGGCAATTCTCGAACCAATATTTATCAATATTGGTTCGAATAAATCAAATTGTTCGTTTGATTCTCGGCAATTCTCATCATTCTCGGCGGTAGGTGTTATATAACAATTACTATGGTTGTTGAAATACTGAATATAAATGGGGTTTGCTTGCAAAATCCGCGCGGGTAAAGCCGCGGGTAACAGCTAGTATTCTAGAAATTCCAATTTACGTTTAAACTTAATACAAAAAATAATGTCTAAAATTTCTAATAAGTTTGTGATTTCCATTAAGATTATTTGTATCTTTTTCTTATGAATTACAAAATTCGTAGGAAATTAACTTATTCGATTTTCAGCATTCTTCTATTAATTATTCTTCTCGTTGTTCTATTAAATTCGTACGTTAATTAATAGAAGAATAAAATAAGATTTGAATGCAAAATTCCAGGAAAAGTTGCGTAACTTCGCTGATTGTTATGAGATTTTATTTAAAAAATAACTTTTATATTATTAATTATCTATATCTATATCTATCTATATATATAAAAATGGACGTGTGTGTCCTTATATTTCACTTTTCAGCCAAAACTACACATCGCACATGAATGGTGTTTGTATGTGGTAGTAGCCCCAAGACTCCATTCGTGCACTATGGTGGTTGCGGCTCGATAGCTATAAGGGTGCGGGAGATATGGGGGCTTAAAGTGGTTGACTTCGAAGATTTTCTATTTCGATTTTAAAAATGTTCGAACCGTTTAAAATTCGAATTCGAATTGGTTCGATTATAGAACGATTGTAAACGTTCCAGAAAATTGATCAAATTGAAAATAGTTCGTTTGACTGGACGTAAAAATTCTCTAATTAGCAATTCTTGCATTCTGTTCTATAAGGGTGTGGGAGATATGGGGTTGATATGGTTGACTTCGAAGATGTGTCAACAATGGAAGTGTCAGCAATAGAAGTGTTAACAGTGGAAGTGTTGAGTAACGAAGGAAGTGTTAATATAAGATTTACAGGCGGTTTTTTGCGTTTTTGCGGGAAATCGAACATATTTTTAGACTGATGTAAAAATTCTCTAATTAGTCTGGAAACGGGGGACCTAATTCTTGCATTCTGTGAAAACGGGTAAGATTGGCTATAATGTAATTATCTTAATCTTCACTATCGTTACTTTTTGCCCAGAGAAGCGGGTCCTTGCAGCTAGTAATAAATAAACTTGAGTATGGCGCCATCTGTTACCTGAGTTTGTTAAAAAATGTTATATTATTATTAAAGAAGCTTAAAGTAAAACGTAAAAATAAAATTGAAGTAACTGGTCATATGAAGAGTCAATACTGTCAATCTTCGGGTAACATTGCATTGTTTAAAAAAGCACATTTAAAAAAAATTCTTTCCGCCCTGTAGGCACTAAGAGAGCCTTCATTAGCAAGCCCATTACGGGTTCTATCAGGCTCACAATGGGGCGGCCGGGTGGTAAGGAACGGGGGTTGACATAAAAAAATTCCTGATCTGTCCGGGTTCGATTCCAGGTCTCCCAGAGCGGTAGGTTACAATCTTAACAGCTCGACCATGCGGCCGTCTGTGTACTTGATTCTCAATGATGAGTTTAGATAGAGGAACAATATCCTGTTTCCTATTGTCCATAATAAATTATATAAATCTGGTTTAGATTTGAATCTAGATTCTGCACGATACAGCCATTTTGCTGACGAATAAAGATTTTAATATCAATTCATTCGCGTATAATTATAACTATAGTTATAATTAAAATTGTATGTATTTTGTTCCAGCTAAGAGAAGCATATAAGATATCCAAAACACACAAAGATACGTTAACTTAGAGATTAATCTATACCAGTCGACCCCCCTATAAGATCATAGATACGTTCCATTCTTTAGGAATCCGGTTTCTTACGAGTCCTTCCAATCACAGCCCGACACGTGTGAAGTTTACGGACTACGGCTGANATTGCTTGTCCTGACTGACTGACTGACTGACTGACTGAATGACTCACTGATTCATCATCGCCCAGAGCAAACCGCTGGACCTAAAGAGCAGAAATTTTGTACACAGTTAGGGTTCGTCATGAAAACGCACACTAAGAAGGGATTTTTCGAAATTCCCAAGTGGGGGGGAGAGGGAGAGCATTAAGTCTTAACCGGAAGAGGCTTCTACTGTACTATTTTAGATGCAATTTTTTGTTTTTATGTGCGTTTTAGTAGGATAAGTCATGGCAATGCACATTAAGAAGGGATTTTTAGAAATTCCCCCGCGGGGGGTGAGGGAGAGCATTAAGGCTTAACCGGAAGAACGGCTTCTACTGTACTATTTTAGATGCGATTTTTTTGTTTTTATCTGTGTTGTAGTAGGGTATGCCATGAGAATGCATACTAAGAAGGGATTTTTTGAAATTTCCCCGCGGGGGGTGAGGGAGAGCATTAAGGCTTAACCGGAAGAACGGCTTCTACTGCGCTATTTTAGATGCGATTTTTTGTTTTTATCTGCGTTGTAGTAGGGTATGCCATGAGAATGTACACTAAGAAGGGATTTTTAGAAATTTCCCCGCGGGGGGTGAGGGAGAGAATATAGTTTTCATCGAGTACTTAGGTGTATTAAATTAATAACATTTCAGACATTGTTATAAATATTTTTATCCATTTCGATTTTAAAAATGTTCGAACCGTTTTAAATTCGAATTTGTTATTTCGTATTCGTATTGTATGCGTTTTAGTAGGGTATGCCATGAGAATGGACACTAAGAAGGGATTTTTCTAAATTCTCCCGCGGGGGGAGAGGGAGAGGATTAAGCTTAACCGGAAGAATGGCTTCTACTGTACTATTTTAGATGCGATTTTTTGTTTTCAACTACGTTTAGTCTTCATCGAGTACTTAGGTGTATTAAATTGATCACATTTCAGACATTGTTTAAATATTTTTATATATTTCAATTTTAAAAATGTTCGAACTGTTTTAAATTCGAATTTGTTATTGCGTATTGGTTCGATTATAGAACGATTGTAAACGTTTCAGAAAATTGATCAAATTGAAAATAGTTCGTTTGATTTTCGGCAATTCTCTTCAGCGGTAGGTGTTATATAGACCTAACAATTACTATAGTTATTGAAATATTGAATGTAAATGGGATTTGCTTGCAAAACCTCCGCGGACGAAGTCGCGGGTAACAGCTAGTTTCTTTATATTAAGCGTATAATTGTAATTGTTCGGTTATTGCTCAAAAGAAATTGTATCAAAAGTTTTTAATGAAAATTTTTATAAATTCACTATTTTTTAATATGATATTTTAAATTTTCAAAATAATAAAATATAAACATAAAATAAATTCGTATCTATACAAAATAATGAAATATTTAATAATTGTTTGAAATACTTAAAAATTTGTTTTTATTAAATTAATGCTATTTTGTATTTTAGGCATTTATTACACATTAATTAAAAAGTTATAATTTTAAACAAAATTAACAATTTTTCATATTCATAATTTTATTTGAGATTTTGATATTTATGATAATATAAATTTAAAACGTCACCACATTTTCTCCACCTGGTGATAATTATTGGCATACAACTTTTATTATATTTTTACAAAAGATAAAAACACGGCTAATGAAAACGACTATAAAACGTTTAATATAGGAAAAATGGTACAAATGCAGAAAAATTTATAATATAATTTTTTATTTATAATTTTCACAAAAATTGATACTCTTGCTTAAATTTAAGCATTCGGTAAATGTATAAGTATGCATTATGATAACACGGTAAAACGATATTGTAAGGAAATTTTATTTAGTTTATGTAATTTAAAATGTTTTCAAGTGAATTTTTTGAGGGAGATAAGTTTTATAAAGAGAAGAATATTTAAAAAAATATTTTATATATTTTTAATTTAAATTTATTAAAGTCTCCATCTATCGGACGAAACCGGAATCGGATCGATGGCCATCCCATCGTTCTATTCGCAGCTGGTCAATGGCGAACACGAAGCAATGTTGATGATGATGGACGAGTGTCCAAATTCTGTCCAAAATCATACGGGTCCAAACTCACCTCCATCATTAGGACCTATAAAAACAAGCCAAGACGAAATCCAACAACAACAGAGACCGAGATATTCTATACCCGGCATAGTACATTTTATACAACACGAATGGACGAGGTTCGAAGCCGAAAGAGCACAATGGGAAGTGGAAAGAGCGGAATTACAAGTGAGTAATAACCATTAAATCGAAAATTTCCTTCGTATAATAATCACGTATTACGAATTAACACATCGTTCGATCGCCTTGTTGGTTTTTTGACATTTCCCCGTCGGCCATCTTGTTTTTCAAAATGGCGTCGGTATACCCGAATTTTGTTATCTTTTATTATTTTCTGTGTATTTGATATAATAACTCTTACATTTTAAGCTTCTAAATGGAATTTATTAGCTTAAAATCTCCATTTATGCTTCGATTTCTTTATAAATAAACAAAATATATCTTATCAGAAAGTTTTGCCTTGTAAATGTATTAAATAGTAATTAATTATATATAATTGGTAATTTATGATGAATTTAAAGCAATTTTAACTTATGTAAAGATTTTGATTTGTAAATTAAATGTTATAAATCAATGTTTAATAATTAAAAATAATTTTTTTATTATTATTAATTTTTTTATGGTTTTATTTTACAGCAAAATTCATTGTTTTACCATGTTTAAAGCCTTGTTTTAATACACAACCTTTGAAACATGTTAAAAATTATTATTAAAAAACATAAATTTAAAAAAAAAACCTTAACATGAACTTAAATGCCTTAGAATCACCTTTATGNTTTATTTATTTAGATTTAGATTGTATAATTGTTTACTAGTCTTAGAACAATAGTGAATACATAAGCAATAATACATATAACACTTTTTTGTGAATTTAAGATTTAATTTCCATGCCAAATTCATTTATTTCTCTACTAGGATCAGATCATATGCTAAATATTTGATGTATTGATTTGGCAAATATCCCTAATATCAGATTTTATATTCATAACTCAGTTTAAATATAGTTTCTTAGATTCAGCCGCATTTTATGTTTTTCATATATCTTTTGATTGTAGATGTTTAGGTCTATATAAAATGGTTCTACGATAAGAAGCTTGCTTGGTTTTGTTATAGAAATCTTTCGTTCGTATACAGAAATAAACTTTTATATAAATGCCGACATCGATCTTAAATTTTTTGAATTTTAATTTAATTTTTTTTGCCAAACGTGAAATCAAGTTTTGTTAACAAACTGTTTTGACTTATAATTTTTTTACTGCACAACTTTTTTCAATAAGTTCTGCTTATCAACTAGTTAAATATGTAATTTAGTTTATTAAATGATTTAAAATTGTTAAACTTTTTTCTCCCATTTATTTAATGTCTAATCGTCTATTTGGATTTTTGGACACATCTGTAATTGTAGAATTGCTGCAGTAATTTTATATCTCCATACATGTTATTTGATAAGCGGAAACAAAAATGTTTACTACTAATATATTATCGATAGTAAATTGTGGCATTACTTCTTTTTATTTATAAAAATTTGTTGACGAATTCAGAACTTTCATTTTCTATATGAAGTATTTATGATATATTGTAGAATACATTGCATAACAGGAAATAATACACAAAAATGAAAATCCAGGGAATAAAATATTACAGCATATATATGAAATAAAGTTTTATATTTTTAAATTTCAGTTTTGATATGGTCCTTTCTAAGCTTAATTTATGGCAGAGAAGCTTAAGTATTGAAATATTTTGTTAATTGCAAACATAAGATAGTAATTAGATGCTTTGTGGTGTAGAAATTGCATAAAGTATGATTAGTTCATTTCTAATAAGTTTTTTTTTGGTCACTGTTACAATATATGATAGTAGTCAATAGAAATATATGCAATGAAGTAATTTGATCAATTATTCTAATTGATCACATTACTTCATGCTGTAACAAGTTTTTTTTTTTTTATCATATGTAAGTTATGCCTAAGATTCACATCTCTGCATCCAACAAAATTAAACATCTAGCATAATCATCTTTTAAAGTGCATTGATTATAAATAAGTATGTCACAAATGTGGTGTTTGATTAAAGCCAGACAATCTGCTAAATTATTGGGCTAGACTATATAAGAAAATGTTTAATGTTTAATTTGGAATTTTATTGTTATCTTAAAAAAATATTATATATTGACTAGGCTTACATAAGCAGTATCGGAGTGAGATGTAATTTAGTTTATGCTTATTATTGTTTATCTGTCATCATTACTTAATCAGCAGAATGAGTATTCTTAATTTTAATAATATCCTTTTATATAAAAGCATTATTAATATTTTTGTCTCTATTAAAAAAAGTTATAGATTTATGAAGTTCTATTGTTAGAGCAAGCATGATATTTAGTTTTTGATATTCATGTGATGTGTTGATTGAATTTTAACTTACTCAAGCTTCTGTTCAAATCAAATATCTTTTATTACTAAATTTTTTGCACTTAGATTTATTCTTATTTATAATAAGTTAAAACTTGAAAATATAAAATCATGTAAATTACATCCAGAATGAAAGTGAAATATTCATAAATAACAGGTATTGCTTACACTGCAGAAATAGGTGCTAGTGGGAGCATTTATTATCTAAAACTATTAAAAAGAATAGTTTTGATTTGGTTATTGATTTGGGAAATAGAAAACATACTTGAATTAAAAATAGAGTATTGAAACAATGGTATTTCAGTCTTCTTAAATAAATAAATTTACTTAAATTTTTTGAATAAAAACAATCATAATAGAAAACTGGTTAAGTAAAGTATTCCTAATATATTGTATGATTATTAGTATAAGCAAGGCTGGCTGAATGGACGAGAAGATGATGTAAGAAGCCACTTGAAGATGATGCTTCAAGTGGCAGATTGAGAAGGGCAACGAAAATGTTCAAAAGGAGAAAATAAATAAATAAATAAAAATAATAGCCAAATATACTGAAGTCCCATAAATGTACTTTAAAGTTGTTTTATAAATAGTTCAGCAAGAAAGTGCTCTCTGTTGGCAACCATTCTGGAAGTTGGGGCAGCAAAAATTGGTTTTACCTAATCTGCAAGTTACCATTGAGCCAGTATCAAGTATAAAGATTCATTATCTAATCACAAGCTTATCCTAGAATAAGCTACTGTATAACCTTGTATTAAACTAATAATCTTTTCAGAGTCCAGACAGTTTTATATATTGTACTAATCTATATATAATATATATATACACTATATATAACTCAATCTATAGCAATATACTGTATATAACTCAAAAATTATATATATTGAAATACAGTATATATAATCCTTGAGTTATATACAGTATTACTGAATTACCTTGAATTTAAGCTGGCTGTTCGTAAATGCATTTGCATAAATAGGATTAAAAATACTGTATTCCTAATATTTGTATGTTTTAGTGTATAGTTTTAGATGTAATACTATTGGCAAAGAGAATTGTACTTGTCTGAATGGCCACTGATCTTTAATTTTAATACTGAAATCTCTATATTTGATAATTTTTTTTAATGTCTGTAAGTTGGTAGATTAAGCATACCAGTTTTATATTTAAAACTTTATAATGTATAGTTAATTTTTAAAATTATTTTATACTAATTATTGTCTACCATTTGACTTAATGAGAGTTATGTATTGAATTTCTAACTAGAACATTTGAAATATAGAATAGCTAAAATCTGCTACGTGAGAACATAAGTTAGTTGATAAGCTATTAATCATGATAATGGTTTCGGTTGATGAACATTGGCTAACAACTGCAAAAACAGATTATTTGGCAGATTTTGAAGGCATAGTCGTTTTTTTGTGGAGGGTCATGATAGAAATGGAGAATTCTCCCATTTGTAGGTTGCTGGGAAGTTGCAGTGGGTCTTTGGTGATTGCTTCCAAGAAAATTGGTCCAGGGAGATATTTGGTGAAATCTTTTAAAGGAAGAGGTATTGGATAATAAGAGTATCAGATTAATAATAAGTACACACTACAATATTTCAGGTTGAAGGTATATCTTCAATTATGCTAACCACTGGCAGATTTTGAGTTATGATCTATCTGGGCATTGATTTTTATGTAAGTTCATCTTAAGATCTATAGTTGTCATAGTTAGGCAGTTTTATTTTATAATCTAATTTTGCTGGACTAATATAATTAAAAAAAATTACAAAAAGTAAACTCATTCATTTACATAAACTTCATTAATTATCACTTAAATTAAATTTAAATTTATGCAAATCATAAATTATTTAATATTCTCTATTGTATTGAATTTATGGAGTGAATAAATTTTAAATATTTGACAAATAATTTAATGGAATTGTTGGAAAGACTGTTATGTGATATTTTTTAAATGTTTTTTTATTTTATGCTTGGATTATAGAATAATTTTAATAATATGAAAGTAATCTGTTAGCTGTCGAAGACTAGCTCCTGTTTTTTTATACAAGGTCATTTTATATCATATTATACATTGACGATGGATAAAACAATCAAATTTTACCTTGAGTTAATTAGGAAATCAAAATACTTTGTTTCACTCAAATTATGTAGAATATTGCACTGAATTTCAGATATTCTCTTAAATGATTTTCATTCATCTCCATTTTAAACACATGAATGTATTTCTTAGTATAAAATGTCATTGCTAACTCATTAAAATGCTTAATTTTAACAATAATTTGTATGATTGGTGACAGATTACATTAAATAATCAAATAGAGATGATGGCTTACTGTTAATTTATGCATCATAGCAGTGTATCGGTAGTAAATTGTCTCAACTTTATTAGGTTTGATTTGTTAAACTGTCAGAAAAACTTGTGCTAATTATCTAATTATATTAACAATTTAGTAATTACAATTATTATTATTATTATACTTAAATAAACAAATAAATTGTCAAATTTAATTTAGAAAAATATAGCAATAAAATGACAACACACTGTTAAATTACAGTGATTTAACTATTACAAAATATGTTTAATGCATTATATAATTTTATAGTGTCTCTACAAGCAGAAGAGATGAATGTCGAATGTTTAAAATTATCGATTATAACAATAACGAAAATAACTACTTCTCGACTTTGAAATGTTAATCTTTTGAATATTATTTTGTTTATATCATTTTAAAACTCCAAATTATTTTAACAT